ATGCATGCAAAAACTGGGATATAAGCCAGAGGTGTGGGTGGTGAGAAGAGACACAGTGGAAAGAACAGACAGATCTACTGAAATGCACTGCTCAGGGGAGCAGCAGGTGAGACAGCAGAGGTCTGCTGTGCCATGTGGGTTAGTTCCATGGCTGGGGATCAAACTTATACCACAGTGACTGGAGACAGCTTGAAGGCACTGAGAATTTAATGCCTGTGCCATGAGGGAGAGCCAACAAGGAATGCTTTTCAAGAGAAGTGATGATGAGTTGAGTCTTAAATGCCTAGCATTAGAATTAGTAAATGATCTTACACTTTTAAGTCAAACAGAATTATCCTCCTTTCGCAGGTCTGCATCTCAACCCTTTTCTTTTTCTTTCTTTTTTTGAAGATTTATTTATTCGTACAGAACTGGGGTACAGGCCAGAGATGCGGAGGGTGAGAGGATTCACCAGAGACAGAGTGGGGTGCGGAACAGGCAGATCGATGAAGTACACTGCTAAGGGGAGCAGCAGGCGGGTCAGGAGAGGTCTGCCAAATCATGTGGATCACCTCCGGGGCAGGTGGGGATCCAACTCATGCGGAAGCGGCTTAAGCTTCTTTATGCTGTGCTTTAACCCACTGCACCACCAGGGAGGGCCCCTCAACCCTTTTCTTTAACAAATATCCAAGTTTCTAAAATTACTTTTCACAGAAATATTATGTATAATTTGCTGTGTATCGTTCCATAGTAATTTAAACAACCCGAGTTGTATCATCTGAAGACAATTCAGAGAGTGTGGATTCTAGAATGTGCCTTTCATATAAAAGATTCTTATGAAAGAAACTCCAAAGGCAGTTACTTTTCCAGGAGTTGTGTGCTTTGAGTGAATTTAAAGTAAGTCTCAAGCAAACAGTACTGATAAGTAAATTGTAGCAGATCCCATGTCTCTCCTCTCAGCATACTCACTAAAACTGTGCACTGAGAAATGACCAGCACACACAAATGAATAGTGAGGCACTAACATCTTGGGTAACTTCATAGACTAACTTGTACAATCAACAGATGTGTAAGAATCATATAACCATCTCTAGGTAAGTTATACTACTTAATAAGATGAGGAAAGATATCTCTGAGTTAAAGGTGTTGTAAAGCAATCCTTGACTGTTAAATCAATGGGGGGGGGGGGGGGTTGGTGAAGTGTGACTTTCTCTTCTGGTGAAGTGTAGTGTTTGGGATTTAAATGTCAGGAGGCAGAGATAGAGCTGTTTTGGTAAAAGACTAATCTTGTAAAGGTTCATTTTCCCCTCACTTTCTAAAGCCATATACTTAGTATAGCATCTTTCTACTCTTTAAAAACAAAACAAAAAAAAAAAAAACTTTTCACTAGAAATGATGAATTTCATCTCAAAGAGATTTAGAAAAAAATTTTCATCCCTCTCAAGAATTTACTCAACATCAGGATGCATACACATACAGGGAAAACATAGCCCCCCACGGTAATCAAACAAACTGAACAGCTGCTTGTGATCCATTCAAATGGTGCAAGAAAGGTGCTTATTGGATGCATTCCTCTTGGGAGGCTTGTATCTAAAATGGGACTAGAAATCATATTTGTTCCTGTAAAGTAACCCTGGCAGCCCCCAATCTGGGAATATAACTGTATTTAATAAATGGAAATTCCTAGATCATTTCCTGTACTCCTTTCTCCCACACTACCTTACCTTGTAGCTGTGCCTAACAATTGTTAGACTTCTGGAAAAAGGGAATTTGAAGTGAAGATATTATATCTCCAGTTGTTTGCTGTATCATGGGCTTCTTAGTGGGAACAGAGAATATACTGTATAAATGGTAAATTCCTAGAAGGCTAGATTCTGCTGGCACTGGAATTGGCATATTATAAGCATGTTGTACAAACTTACTGCTTGGTTATCTAACATCAAAAATGGCATGGTGGTGCTTCTCTAATATGGAGAAGCTGCTCATCTAGAAGAATGACAACTTACTTGTAATACCTCTTCATTCTTTGACCAGTGCTATTTTCATCTCATTGCTAGAAAGTTCTGGTGTTTCTTAGATGGACTGCTCCTTCAGAGTCAATTCCATCAATAATGAGTGGATTTCATAGATGCTGTCTAAATTCTTAATTTTGTATTAGGTTCAATGACATTATGGTGCAAATGAACTTCCAAATTGTCAGAATTGTAGTAGCAGAAATGGGTTCTTGTTATATTACCCTGTGAGAAGAGTTCTGCTGAAAATGAAGTTTTGCTATACCCCTAATCAAACATGACCAGTAAAGTGTACTATTTCTTAGGATAGGTTGTCTCTATTCAATGCTGTTTTGCCTGATACTCATCAAAGGAATTGGATAAACTTTTCCAGAGGTGGTGATATTTGAGATAGGTATTGAAAGCTCAAAGCAATGAGGTGGTAGAGATAGGACATTATGTCAGAGGGCTAAACAATAATTCTCAAAGTGTGTGATGCCAGAATCAGCATCATCAAACCTCACTCTGGAACTTGCTAAGGCATGAACATTTTTGGTGCTACCTTATGCTTAATAGGTAAGGACCTCTGGGGCACATGCTAGGAATGTTTTAACAAGCTTTGCTGCTGAATGCCATGCACCCTAAAATTGAGAACCACTGGGCTAAACTTAGAAATTTGAAAACAAAGTGCTGTGTTGGAAGGACCTCAGGTTCTTCAGTATGGTTCTGCTTTAGAATAAGTGGTCAGTGGTAAAGACTGAGCATGAAAAAGTAGGCAAGGTGTCCATGCATACCAGGCCCCTACATGGAATTTGTATTGTAATGTGTTAATTAGGATGCTGGAGAGATATGAAAGTCTTTGTAAGCAGGAAATTAAGGAATTACCTGTTAAAAATAACTCTAGTAGTAGTGTAGTGTGAGAAATAGAGGTCCTGACTACTACATGAGGAAGAAGGAAGGCATTGAATGGGAGATTAAATGTTGGCAGAGTTAAAGGAGGAGCTCATGTAGAGGGTGGAGACAGGTAGCTGTTGACTGCCTTGGTTACCGGGCAGGTAGGTGGTGAAGCTACTAAAACACAATTTTAAATTCCTATCAGAATTCTGTCCTCTCTTTCAAAATATAACTGTGGGGATAAGTGAGATACCCAAGCCCGTTATATAAGAACGTAAAAACAAAATTTAGCTAAGAAGACTTTTATGAGTAGATAGCACAGCAATGTAAGTGCATTTTCTGTAGTCCTGGTCATCTGTCTATAAAAATGATTGACTTAGATATAAAACTATGGTAAATTAGCAAGAACTAGAGATTTAAGTAATTGTGAGAGAGACACAGCTTTTTTAAAAAGTAAAGTTTAAAACACTAAACACTGAAGCAGCAATGCTTTTTAAAAAAGTGTAATGTAATCGAGTAAAAGAACAAAAGCATTAGAACAGTTACACAATGTTCTTAAAACTGAAAAATAAAAACACTGATTTTAAATGTTGATAATTTGGTAAATAAAAAAAAATTAATCCTAAAATAAAACCTATGTAATTCCTCTCCTGGCATTAACACCCCCCCTTGAAATGAGTCCTGCATACTTACATAACCTAGCCAGTAACCATTACACACTCACTCCCTTTTCCTCCCCCAAATCTAAGCTTTCCTAAATGTACTAGAGAGAAATTTTCCATTAAAAAGAAGTCAGTCTGTAGCAAGAACTGATTTCTGTAACGTCACTTTCTGCAAGGGAGGACTGTCAAGACGCCATACTACTCATGCTACTTTGGAGCTGGTAGTGTTGTTACTACTAGACTGTGAGTTGTGAGTCTGGAACACAGTGTGGTGTGTAGGGAATAGAGAGCTAAACATATGGCATCACGTGACCTTCATCTTCCTGTTGGCCAACCTGGCAGCAGATGTCATTTTTTGGCTGTTTAACAAGCAAACCATCCTACAGAAAAACATTTACACTCTTGTCAAAATACAGTTTTGCTTCTAATTATCTTAACTGCTTCCTCATCTCCTATCCTTCCTCAGTCTCCATCCCTTTTATCAATTTCCAGAAGACACACACTTGAGGATTGTGGAATAGATGAGTGTAAGGTGTAAGATGAATTATCTCCAGCAAATGTCTCTCCTTTCACTTCAGATTGTGGATAATGAGGCCAGAAGTGTAATTTACTGAAAGAGTTTGGAAAGGTAATTACTGAAATAATCTCAAAAACAGTACTAACTACAGTGTAACAAAACCCACTTTATAGCTGCCAGAGCCACTTGAAATGTGATAAACATCTTGTTCACAAACCCAATGTTACACCAAAGGAAGTTCCTTTTTAGCAAATTACCAAAAGAGCCTGCTATATTCAAATCATTGTGAAATTGTGATTAAAAAAAAAAAAACCCATTCAACAGGAACAAAGTTAAGTTGCAAAACATAAAATTGTGTTAAAACAGGTTTTGAAAATGGATGGGGTGCTGAAGAATGATCTCAGGTTTGAGGGTGTTTCTCTGCCATCCTGTCCTTAAAAGCTCATGATTAGCCAAAGGCTTCTGGCTTCACTGGTCTCTGCTGATTTCTGGAAGGGTGATTTTTAAGGAAAAACTCCTTTTTTCTCAAGCTAAACCACTTAGTTTTGAGAATGCAAGTCAGCGCTGCCAGAGAAAAGAATGTTTCTAAAGAAACATTCAGACACAAAAGCCTAAGGATCCTTAGACAAACACCGGCATTCATTCCCAATTCTAGCCAATTCTAGCCACTATGTTCTCAGTAGCAGGGGACCACTGCTCAATTCCAGCTGCCTTTGCACTCAGCGCCATTGACACAATGTTCCCTCCACCTTTTACCCAGAGGCCACCACTTCTTCCAGGGCCTTTGTGACGCCAGAGGCCGCTGGCCACGCCCTAGGGCTCTTGGCTCACAAAGGCAGGTGAAGCTACAAGCATGCTCAGTGCTCTGGGCGCCTTTGATGCTGGCTTGGGCTCAGGTCCTGCTTCTCCCACCCCGCGGACACCCGGAAGCGAGCCCTGACACCTCCATCATTCACCATGGCCAGCCAGTTATGCCTCCCTCTCGCCCCGAGCCTCTCATCCTTGAAACCCTTGAAACTGCACTCCGGAGACATCAAAGCGGGCATCTGTGTGGCCATCCAACGCAGCGACGGGCGGATCCAACTGGCTGTGGTCACGGAGGTCAAAAGAGAACAGGCTTGTGTCACAGTAGAGTGGTTTGAAAAGGGAGTCAAAAAAGGCAAGAAGATCGACCTAGAGACCATATTCCTGCTGAATCCAGCACTGGCCACTGTTGAGTACACCATGCCATCCGGACTTTTGTCTGCTTTGCCTCTAGCACGCTCTTCGGCCATCGGGGACCAGTGTATGGCCTCACGGTGGATTACAAAGATCCCGCAGAAAAACGAAACGCCCTCGGGGGATAGCCTGTCCATGCGAGTTCCCAGCAATCCTTGTGTGATGAGAAGGAAAAAGTCTCCCTGCCTGCGTGAAATTGAGAAACTACAAACACAGAGGGAGAAGCGCAGACGCCTGCAGGTAGAGATCCGAGCACAACGTGCCCTCAATGTCAATACGGGGAACCCCAACTATGAGATCATGCGTATGATCGAAGAGTCCCGGAAGCAGCTGGACCCCAGCAAGATGGCTGGCCTGGGGCCACGAGAAGGTCATCGAATCTGCGTCTGCGTGAGGAAGCGGCCTCTCAATCAGCAAGAAACCACCATGAAGGACCCGGACATCATTACCATCCCCTCAGACAATGTGGTCATGGTCCATGAGTCCAAGCAAAAGGTAGATCTCACTCGCTACCTGGTGAACCAGACCTTCTGTTTTGATCATGCCTTCGATGACACAGCCTCCAATGAATTAGTATACCAGTTCACAGCACAGCCATTGGTAGAGTCCATCTTCCGCAAGGGCATGGCTACCTGTTTTGCCTATGGGCAGACAGGTAGCGGGAAAACGCATACCATGGGTGGAGCCATTTCAGGAAGTGAACAAGACTGTTCCAAAGGCATTTATGCCCTGGTGGCACAGGATGTCTTCCTCCTGCTTAAAACGTCTGCTTATAAAAAGTTGGGCCTCAAAGTCTATGGAACATTCTTTGAGATCTATGGGGGCAAGGTGTATGATTTGTTGAATTGGAAGAAGAAACTGCAAGTCCTCGAGGATGGCAATCAGCAGATGCAGGTGGTTGGGCTGCAGGAACAGGAGGTGTGTTGTATAGAAGACGTTTTGAGCCTGGTGGAACAAGGGAACAGCTGCCGGACCTCTGGACAGACGTCAGTCAATGCCCACTCTTCCAGAAGCCATGCTGTGTTCCAGATCATCCTTAAGTCAGGAGGGAAACTGCATGGCAAATTTTCTCTAGTTGACTTAGCTGGGAACGAAAGGGGAGCAGATACTGCCAAAGCCAACCGTAAAAGGCAGCTGGAAGGTGCAGAGATCAATAAGAGTCTGCTGGCACTGAAAGAATGCATCCGGGCATTGGGTCAGAACAAGCCTCACACCCCTTTCAGAACCAGCAAGCTCACACAGGTGCTCCGGGATTCCTTTATAGGCCAGAACTCCTGCACTTGCATGATTGCTACCATCTCTCCAGGGATGACTTCTTGTGAAAACACCCTCAACACACTAAGATATGCAAATAGAGTAAAAGAATTAAGTCTAGATGTAAGGCCCCCACATCGTTATCTCAGTCTGGTTGAACCTGAGGTGCCAAGGATGTTAGAAAATCACATAGAAAATTCTGAAATGTTCCTTGAGAGGGATGAATTTGCTGAAATACCTCATATACAGAATGAGGAAGTAGAGATTAAAAAAACGGAAATATTATCCACTCCATTAATGGGAGACACGACCTCTTCAGGGAAGAAAGCAAGCCAGTGTTCTGGGAGCAATATCCAGGGAACAGCTGCTGGGGTAAACTATAATGTTGATTTTTGGATTGCCCAGTTACTGTCCATTTTGGATCAGAAAATAGGTATTCTCACTGGGATTCAAAATAAACTCAAATTATTAAGGGCTGATCTCCAAAAGAAGAGTAAGGTAGACTGAAGCTGAGAGCGGGCGATCAGACCTGAACTGGATACATTGCTGCATTTCCCACCTCTCTTATAAAGAAAATTGTCTAAATTATCTAGTTATAAAGATCCTTCTGGAAAACTTAACATCTTGAAAATATGCTTGTCGGGAAAGTCTTCTTTCTTTTCTTCTGTATCTTTATAGTTTTATTTCATGGGAAGGACAGTGGTTCTCACCTGGGAAACTTTTTGTGGTCTTAGGAGTCTTTAGCAACATCTACAGACATTTTTGGTTTTCCAACCGTGGTGTTTAGGGGCTGTGATAACTGGTATATGTAGTGGATAGAGGGCCAGATTTGCTATTAAACAGCCTCCTGTAATTAATAATTACTGACAGAAAAAGCTCATGGGAACTGTGTTTGAGAAATTGTATTTTAAAAGAATTTAGCTATGAAGAAACCAGGTAACCTGCATGTATTAACTAGGAAAGCAACACATTGTGAATTTAAAGGATTAGAGTTGAAACCAAGGAATACACAATGGAGTAACCATTGATAACCAATAATGAATCTTTTTCTGTTGTTTTGGTGGAAGATTCAAATGATTTATAAGTTCTAAAAATAGTGGAGGGGCAGGGTAGTGGAGGCATTTGAGGGAAGAAGGAATTTTCTTTAAGAAACTAAGAAAATTCAGTACTTCCTTTAATTGAAATACCATGGCAACAGTGATACATACATATGTATGTATATACACAGAGACATATATGTATATACGTACTACATAGTATATATGTGTTCTATGCACGGGTGTATGTATTATATAAATGTGTGTATATGTGTGTATATATACATATATGCATTGAAATAGACACACATCTGTGTGTGTTTATCCCCATATACATACTACATTAAGTTCATTAAAATCCAAATTCTACCACTCATCTTACATTTAATTTACCCATCCCACTAACCCTTTCCTTTCTGGTACCCAATAATTGGAATTACAATGCAAAAGCTTGTTTTTTATGTAGCTCCTCTGTGTGTTTTCCCTATGTGAGTGAAATCATACAGTGTTTGTTTTTCTCCATCTAGTTTATTTCACTACAGTGCCCTCTAGGTCCCGTTCTTGTTACAAATGGCAGGATTCCACTTTTGTTTCTATATCTGAATATGCACCATTATACATGCATACCCGTCTTTAGCCATTCATCAGTTGATAGGTTCTCTGGCTGTTTCTAGTTCTTGCCTAATATAAATAATGCTGTAATAAATGTGGGAATGTATCTATGTCTTTGAATTAGCGTTTTTATACTTGGAAGGCCAATACCTAGGAGTGGGATAACTTGATTCATTTGCTATATTTAATTTTTAAGTTACATTTATTGAGATGATGGAGCTCAGTATATGTCTTAGGGCTATTTACCTCATGGTATATGTCTTAGGGGTACAGAGTCATGCCTCTGCAACTCTGTTATTTTACCACACCTACCACCAAAGCCCCAGTAATGCTCCTTGAGACTCCTCTATTTTCAATTTCTGAGGAATCTCCATATCCTTACCATTTACGACTGCACCGATTCAGATTCCCTCCAATGGAATATAAGAGCTCCCTTCTCTCCTATCCTCTCCAATAGTGTTTGTTGTCTTTGGATAATAGCCATTCTCACAGATGTGAGATGATAAGTCATTCATGTTTTGATTAACCATTTCCCTAATAAGGAGAGGTGACAAAAATGTTTCCATGTGTCTATTGGCTGCCTGCATTAACATCTTTGTAGAACTGTCTGTACAGATACTATGTCCATTTAAAATTAAGTTTGTATTTAGTGTTATTTTTATATAGATATTTAAATACTAAACACTTATGTATAATGGGGAAATATACCTTCCCATTCAGTAGGATATCTTTTTTTGTTTTGATGGACATTTTGTCACAAAGAAACTTTTCAGTGCAATGTGGTCTGGCTTGTTTATTTTTGCTTTATGTTTCACTTGACTTTCAAGTTGTGTGCCAAACACTTTTAATGCTGATCTCAAGAAGCTTATTGCCTGTAATCTTCAATGTATTTTATGTTTTAGGTCTTCTATCCAAGCCTTTATTCTATTTTGAAATATTTTTTATGAATGATAGAAGATAGTAATTTTATTCCTTCATCTGTAGCTCTCCAGTTTTCCTAATATCATTTAAAGAAACTGTCCTTGCTCCATTGTAAGCTCTTGTCTCCTTTGTAAAAATTAATTGTCCATATGTGTGCAATTTTACTTCTGGACTTTTAATTTTGTTCTATTTATCTCTGTCTGTCTTATTCCAGTATTAAGCTATTTTGATTACTATGGCCCTGCAGTATAGTTTGAAAAGTATGTCTCTATTTTAATTTTTCTTAATATGGTATGTCCTTGAGAATATTCAGTGAGCACTTGTAAAGAATGTATAATCTGGTGTTTTGGGAGGGGTATTAAAAGTCTCCTGCTATCATCTGTGCTGCTGTTAGTGTCTCCCTTTACTTCTGTTAATGAATAATAAAAAAATTCTAATGTAGCAGTATGCTATGTTGGAGCTTATGGATTTTTTTTTCTTTTTTATATTTAAATAGCAGAACGCCTTTCAACATTTCTTATGGGGGGAGTTCTAGAGTTGGCAAACTTATTTAGCTTTTGTTTTTCATGGAAGACCTTTATCTCTCCCTCAGATCTGAGTCTTACAAGATATAGTGTTCTTGGCTGTAAGTTTCACCTTTGAGTAAAACATAATTCCATTCTCTTCTGGCCTGTTGAAATTCTGCTTAGAAGTCTAGTGAAAGCTTTAAGGTGTATGTCATGTGTAATAATTCTGTCTGCCTATTGTATTTTATTATTATTATTTTTGTAATAAATGTGAGTCAACAGCTTAGAGCGTTAAACATATTTTTGGCACTCTTTGCATAGATACAGATGAATACAGTTGCTGGGTCATATGGCAAATCACGTTTTAGTATTTTGAGGACTGTCTACATTTCTTTCCCATAGGGGATGAGCCAGTCTACATTCTGACCAACAGTGCAAGAGGGCTCCTTTTCACCACACCATCACTAGGATATGGTTCTGGTGTTTTTTTGTTTGTTTTTTAAGATTTATTTATTTGTGCATACAGAACTGGACTATAGGCCAGAAGTGCAGGGGCAGTGAGAGGATTCACCAGAGAGAGTGGGGAGCAGAACAGGCAGAATGACAAAGTATACTGCTGAGCGGAGCATCAGGCAAGACAGGAGTGGTCTGCTGAGCCATGTGGGTCACCTCCCTGGTTGGAGATGGAACTTATGCTTAAGAAACTGCAGCTAGCTTCACAGTGCTGCGTTTTAACCTGTTGCACCAGCAGGGAGAGCCCGGTACTGATATTTTTTGACATGGGCCATTCTCACAGGTGTGAGTTGCAAAGGAGGTTTAACAAAATTCTTCATGGAAGAATTCATGGAAACTTGCCTTCTCAAAAACCATAAGTGTACTGCATTGCCTACTAAGTTTTAAGTCTTTTCCAACTGCTTTCTGACCCCTGCCACTACTTTGAATGTTGTTCTAGGAATGCATACTTTAGATTTAGCAAGTCTTGAGCTAGAAAGCCAAGCAAATACCTGAAGAGGAGTTCGCACATAGAATACAGTTCTGACCCCTTCATGCACAATCAGTCAGTGCTATTGACTGTCGGCTGGAACTTCAATCTTCAACTTTTATGAGACTTGTGTCCCTCTCAGACAACAGTATTTATGGGGTTGCTTCTTTGCTTGGTTTACTGTTCAGACCAAAGAATCATCAAATAGCCCAAGGGACAAAGCAGGAATGAATGTATCACCATTTTAATTTAGTTCTCCATTCCCTCTGATTTTCCCTATAGCTTTGGCTTTTATTATATTCGCAAAGTTGTGCATCTATCATCACAATCAATTTGAAAATAAAAAAAAATTGCCCTGCAAAGAGCCAGAGTCCCTTAGATATCATTTCTAAATCCCTCTGTCCTCCATCCCTAGGCACGAATACAGCTTTCTGCAATTACAATCCTCATGTCCCGATTGCCCTTTTTATTCTTTGGTGCTTTCCTAAACTGATGTATTTTGGCATTTGGTTTCCATGTAACTTACTTAAGTAGCTTGCTACTTTTATCTTGATGATACTCTGATATAAATAGCATAATGATTTATGCATGCTATACATGACTGTTGGCATAATTTATATAAACAAAATTTCTGATAAAAACCAATCTCAACCAACTTAAGATCTCTGTGCTGAAACTTAGTAAGAAAAGCAGCAACATGTTATCATAGGTAACTAATGGTACCCATTGTTGGGAAGTAGATGGACTACAGGATGATCTTGAATGCCACTTCCACATAGATACAACGTAGTTAACAGTGGGTTTTAATATAGCTTTGCTAATCTCTTCAGAGTTGGAAATCGAGGCAAAGTGGAATAAAGTTATATTAGTTCACCTACAGATTCTATGCATTCTTAACTCTTCTTTTGAAAGGGTTTTATATATATATATGTGTGTGTACATATGCACACACATACACACATGCATTAGTGTGTGTACATGTGTGTTCACATGTGTGAATGTATTTGCACAGCTTTATATACCTCACATGTGTTTTATATCAGCATCTGTGGGAAAAAACAATCTTGCTTGCTAAGAACTAGTCTTAGTGCAATTGCTTCTGTTGAGTTGTTATCTAGTTATGAAGAACAATATAGTATTTCCACTGATGTTATTTTTTTATGAGAATATACATGGCTCCTTAAAATAGTCTCAGAAAACAGCATAAAACTTAAAATGAACATCAGAAATTAAGATTCTGTATAAATGAAAAAAGCTAGGAAATATATATTAGTTGGTGTCCACTAAAACAGTTCACATAGGTGCCTTGAAGTCAAAAAGATTGTAAACTGCTTTAACAAGATTGTTTGAAAATTGTCAGAGCTCCTAAATTGAGAAAAGTAAATACTTTTAGAACCTTGAAGACATCTATTTACACCCAAAAAGTTGGCATGCTAATTACAAGCTACA